ATTTATGTAATTTAATAGATGTAATAATGTACGATAAGTTAAAATTTTATAGAAACAGCTATATCAAGTAAAAAATGTTCTGTTCACTACTGTGGTAACCCTAAAAATCAGAACATTTTGCACCTAATGTAGTTATTTTCGTAAAATTTTCTATGATTGTCTCTGTTTAATTTTAGAAATATTTCATCAATTTTTATTTTAGCGACCAAAATGACTAGAAAGACAAATACAGTAATCTTCCAAAAAAAAGTTCACGGATCAAAGTGTCACAATGCTCATAATTCAGAGATTAACAATGCTAAACCCTAATATTTAATACGATTACTAACTAACTGTCACAGTATCACCCTAACGCCCAGGGGGAGTTAGATAGTAGAGTTTAAAAATAAAGTGAAATTTTAATAGTAGAGTTTAAAAATAACAAAATTTTTAAAATACTATAAGAATATCAAAATTTTCATATCAATAAAATAATGACTAGATCATTATATGCTACAAAATGTGGCCTTATTATGATAATGGCTATATCATTTTTATTATATTCATAATATTCTGAAAATATTGCTAAATTTCAATTTAAGGTATGATATTTTTTCCATTAGTATAATTATCTCTAGAATTTTGATACATATTTAAAATAAAAAAAAATGAGAGAATTTTCTATCTATAATTCACCTCTTTAGTTTTGTACAACGATCTGATTAGAATTTTTCCCTCTCAAATTAATTACTATATGCAGTGAGGAAATGAGGGAGGAAATCTTGTACTTCTAAATAGAGGGCATAGATCTTTTATGCACCCTCTCTAAGTGACTAAACTCATCCCTCTGTGTTTCCATTAAGCTAATCCCTACTGGGAATTTATGATAAATTTGACATCTATATCTTAATATTTTACCCAATTTGTTGATAAAGGAAGGATTTGCAATAAATTTGCGCTACTTAAGTTTGCGAAATACAAGAATATAATATTGGTAATTCCTCCTTTAGTATTGAGTTTGAAGAAAGGTTAAAAAATTGAATAAAAAAAGATAGATAAAAAAAATAAAATAGATCATCTAAAAAATAAATAAATGTCACCACTGAAAAATCAATGAAAAATTTGTCTTATGCGTTCATGCCAAATGACACACTCCTTTCTACGCAATACTTTTATACATAATTGGCTGATTAGAAAAAGTATGTAATACATCATGTTTGTCGCGTAAAAGTGCCTCGAGTTATTACATAAAACAATCGCATGGTTACATGGTATCCTTGGAATTTCAATGCCCTTACTCTAGCTTAAAATTGTCTCTATCACCTCAACCGAGTATTGTACACACAAATATGTAAATATATGTATATATAAGGCGCGATTATCATCCTTCATTTTAAATCTTTAGGCACTAGTAACTCATCGTATCACATGTTGAAAATTTTAAATATTTAAAAATAATTATAGCTTAATCAATAGTCGAGCAAATATTTACTATGAAACATTGATATTGGGAATGACAACTACAATATGTATGTGTGTATACTTATGTATGTGTATATGTGTACGTGTGTGGATGTATGTATAGGCTTAGTTTGGTAGTATTGTAGATTTTAGAAAAATTATTTTTAATTGTGCTGAAGGAAGAAGTAGTTGTTACAAAAAACAGCTGAGTGTTTGGTAAGCTATAATTATAGTAGCTGTGCTAGTTCTAAAATCAGTATAATAGCGTTTGGTAAATTATGAAGTTGAATTGTTATGGATAGTTAAAAATTACGATTATATTATATTATACAATAATATAATATATATAATTATAATATAATATATATTTATTATTATATTTAATATAATAAAAACTATTATTATATAATATATTATATAATTATGATATAGAAAATAATAATAATATTAAAATAATAATGGAAAGAATTAA